AATGTTTGTATATAGTAGCTTTTTCCCTATGCCCCTTTTGCATTTTTTTTTTTTAAAGCTTACCTCAGCGGACTCATGTTGTGATTGTAACTCTTTACAGGAGTAGAAAGCCAAGTCTTTCTCCTGCTGAGTGGCTGGTAGGTTCCAACTGCTGACATTCTGGTTAGCAGCCCAACTCATAACCACAATGCCACCAGGGCTCAACCTGAAGCCCTCCTCAATTCAGCTTCAAATAATACTAGCAGCATCCCGTCACTTAGCGAGCTTGTCTGCCTTGTAATCTTTAAGGTAACCTGTGAAGTAGCTTTGATTGTTGCAATGATTCAACTGTTTGTAAACCGAGGCACAGACAGGATAAACATCTTGGCCAATGTCGCTCTGAAAGCTGTATATCTAGACACAGAGCCCAGGCTGTCTGACACTAAAAGTCAGGTATGCTGTCCTTACTCCTTCGTGCTTCTTAAGGAGCCTTTCCTCTTTGCTTCCATGTCCTCTCTCTTTGTGCTGCAACTTTCTCTGCCGAAAATGTCTGTCCTGCACCAAGATCATCATCACTGACCTTTTTCAAGCTCTTTTTTAATTAAGCCTTTCACGACTTTCCTTGAAAACCAAATTGGCTGCCATTAAATGGATTCTGACTCAGGGCGACCCCATAGAAGAGAGCAGAACTGCCCCTTTGGGTTTCTGAAACTAATCTCTACTGGAGCAGAAAGCCTCATCTTTCTCCTGTGGAGCAGCTGGTGCCTTTGAACGGCTGACCTTGCAGTCAGCAACTCAATTCCTAACCCACCACACCACCAGGGCTCGAAGTTAGATTAGGATCTTCCTTCCCCACATGTTGCTAGTCAGAAGTCCGCACACCCCACCCTCAAGGCTCTCCTGACTTGGCTCTGGCGTGAATCCAAAATTTAACCAAACCAGGTGCCATCTAGTCCATTCTGAGTCATAGCACCCCCATGTGTGCAGAATGGGGTTGCACACCATAAGGTCTGGTGTCAGTACTTGCAACATAAATAGCCTCTGTTCTTACGAGAAGCATCACACCGAATGCCACATGTTCTCTGTGTGTGTGGGTTTGCATCCATCTTTGTGATCACAGAATAAAACTTCTAGAGTGTGGTTTCTGGGTAACTTGTGTAGCATGCAAGGCGATGCGCTGAAAGGCACACAAAAGAAAAATCATAGACACATGTGTGAGGCGATGATTATTATTTCCCAAAAGTTAGCCCACACATATCTCAGGATAATGGACTGAATGACACAACTCTTTTTAATATGATTAAACCAGTCAATGGGTGGGGGTTGTTTCTTTCAAATTCCTTAAGAATGTGAAATATTAATGGAGCCCTGGTAGCATAGTGGTTACACCTTGGGCTGGGTTCTGCAAGGTAGGCAGTTTGAAACCACCAGCTGCTTCAAGGGAGAAAGGTGGGCCTTGCCATTCTCATAAGCAGCTACAGCCTCCGAAACACACAGCGGCAGTTCTACCCTGTCCTATAGGGTTGCTATCAGTTGGCATGGACTGCATGGCGGTGAGCAAGTGAGCGAGTGAGTAAGCAATGATTCGTTAGTCTTCTAAACGAAATGAACTCATAAAGGATGGTTGTGTTTGTGTTATAGAATTTTTGTCAGTAAGCTTTCTTGGAGCATCCATGTCCTTTAAAAAGAATCACCAATCTGTCTCTCTCCTAGCTGGCTCTCTCCTAACTATGGAGATTGGCTAACCTGGGCTTCCTTCTCTCTTCCAGATCTTGGCCATCATGTCTATCCTGTTCATCGTCCTCTCCACCATTGCTTTGTCTCTCAATACCCTGCCAGAGCTGCAGGAAGTGGATAAATATGGACAGCCCAATGACAACCCCCAGTTAGCACATGTCGAGGCCGTGTGCATTGCGTGGTTTACCATGGAGTACCTCTTACGGTTCCTATCCTCACCAAATAAGTGGAAGTTCTTCAAAGGCCCCTTAAACGTCATTGACCTGCTGGCCATCTTGCCATACTACGTCACCATTTTCCTGACTGAGTCCAACCGGAGTGTGCTGCAGTTCCAGAACGTCCGGCGCGTGGTACAGATCTTCCGGATCATGCGGATCCTCCGGATCCTCAAGCTCGCTCGGCACTCTACGGGCCTGCAGTCCCTGGGCTTTACCCTCAGGCGGAGTTACAACGAACTGGGCTTGCTGATCTTGTTTTTGGCCATGGGGATCATGATATTTTCCAGCCTCGTCTTTTTTGCTGAGAAAGACGAGGACGCTACAAAGTTCACCAGTATCCCTGCATCCTTTTGGTGGGCCACCATCACCATGACCACCGTGGGCTACGGCGACATTTACCCTAAGACGTTATTGGGGAAAATCGTGGGCGGCCTCTGCTGCATTGCAGGGGTGCTAGTCATCGCCCTCCCCATCCCGATCATCGTGAACAACTTCTCAGAGTTTTACAAGGAGCAGAAACGCCAGGAGAAGGCCATTAAAAGGAGAGAGGCCCTGGAGCGGGCTAAAAGGAACGGAAGCATCGTGTCGATGAACTTAAAAGATGCCTTTGCCCGAAGTATGGAGCTGATAGACGTGGCTGTGGAGAAAGCCGGCGAGTCGGCCAACACCAAGGACTCTGCAGACGACAATCACCTCTCCCCTAGCCGGTGGAAGTGGGCCAGGAAGGCTCTGTCGGAAACCAGCTCCAACAAATCTTACGAGAATAAATACCAGGAAGTGAGCCAGAAAGACTCCCATGAGCAGCTGAACAATACTTCTGCGTCCAGCCCACAGCACCTGAGCGCCCAGAAACTGGAGCTGCTGTACAACGAAATCACCAAGACGGCGCCTCCCTCTCACCCCAACGCAGACGGCCACGAGCAGCCCGAGAGGCCTTCCGGGTATGAGGAAGAGATCGAGATGGAGGAGGTGGTGTGTCCGCAGGAGCCGCCGGCCGCGGCGCAGAGCGAGGGCGTCATGGACATGAAGAGCACGTCCAGCATCGACAGCTTCACCAGCTGCGCCACGGACTTCACCGAGACGGAGCGGTCGCCCCTGCCGCCGCCCTCCGCGTCCCACCTGCAGATGAAGTTCCCAACCGACCTTCCGGGCACAGAGGAGCACCCAAGAGCCAGGGGCCCCCCGTTTCTGATACTAACCAGAGAGAAAGGGCCTGTGGCCAGGGATGCCACCGTGGAATGTGCGCCACTCGATGTAATGGTGAACCTCGATCCCAGCGGCCCCCAGGGTGGACTACACAGGTCCGACAGTGCAAGTGACAGCCCCAAGAGCTCCCTGAAAGGCAGAAACCCCCTCAAGTCCAGGTCCCTCAAAGTAAACTTTAAGGAAAACAGAGGCAGTGCGCCCCAGACGCCACCCAGCACAGCCAGGCCACTGCCGGTGACAATGACTGAGTTTGCGCTCACCGCCCCCCAGCACATTAGCACCATCCTCTTGGAAGAAAACACTCCGCAGGGGGACAGACCTGTGTTAGGTGCAGACGTGGCCACACAGGGTCAAGGGCCTGCCCAAGGGTTGTCGCCTCGGTTTCCCAAGCAAAACCTGTTTCCTTTGCCAAGCGAGAGGAGGAGCTTTACAGAAATAGACACGGGCGAAGACGATGACTTCTTGGAGCTCCATGGGACAAGGCAGGAGACCCAGGCAGGCGCCAGCCCAAACTGCTTGGCTGAGAAGCCTAGTGATGGGAGAGACCCTTTCAGAGCAGACGCCTCTGCTGACTCTCCCTCCCCTCAGAACACCGATCACAACTGCCAGCAAGACAGTGCCCTTGCTGTGGGCGAACTCAAACAGGACAATAGTCAAGAAGGGTGCAAGCTGGAAAACCACTTGTTTGCCCCAGAAATTCATTCCAACCCGGGAGACACGGGTTATTGTTCCACACGGGAAACCAGCATGTGACTAGTTACAAAAGCAATAAAAACGAACTTGTTTCTTAAGAACACGGTTAATGATGCCTGTGAACTAAAACACGGCAAGTCCCCACCCCACACACACACACAAAAATGCATAAAATGTTATTTTTGCATGGCATGAACAGTGTAGTTTAAGTACTGTTTAAATAAAGAGTCAAGACTGTGCTTTGTAACAAACAAACAAACAAAACGGCTGAAGAACAGTGAACAAATAAAGAGAGCTCTATTAGGAACCTGTATTATGCAATGTCTGACATTTTTTATCCTTTCATTTCAAATCATAGGCAGATTGCCAACATGTAACTGCCATGTTCCGAGTCACTGTAGAATTTACACATGAAAGGATGAAATGCCATTGCATGCATTCGTATCCATGAGGAGCAAGGTGCTTTGAGCTTGCAAAATGCATTATCTTTGTGAATAATGGGGCCGGGGATGCAAAAGTGTCAAGAACGTGTTGAAACGAGTTTCTGAGACACGGGGATTTCCTTCACAGCTACTGCCTGGAGGAACTGGACAGACTTCTGGTTGCCAAATTGCAACCTCTTCTAAAACCGTCTCACCGGCTTTGCTTTCAGCCATGAGCCCATAAGTGCATCTGCTTCGGGGCATACAGTATTGTTCTTCATTGTGATGTCATTCACAAGGTGCATTTTTGCTTCAGCTCAGTGGTGGCACTTGTGATTTCTTTTCTAAATCATGAAAACAGGCAAGATCTAATGACTAGATATCAAAATATTGGCGATTTGATCGTGATGTTTTGCCAATAGATTACCTAGTATACCACAGCCTATTGCACAAGTGAATTTTTTTATGAAAATAATTAAAGTCTCTATAGTACAGCTAAACTATCTTTTTTAAATGGCACTCCACAGTTGAAAAATCTGTTTATTTTGTTTTGTTTTTAGTTCCCTTTGGCCATCTAAGTCTAACTTTGTTTTCCACAAAAACCAAACATGACCTTTTCTACCTAAAGGTCTAAAAATAGAATTCAAATTTGCCAAAATGAGAGATCCGCAATGTGATGTTTGACAAACTAAGAGCTGAGTCATATAAATGGCATCCCCGGCCCCTTACTGGCAGAGTGGAGTGTGGAAATCACTTAGCAGAAAAAGCTCTGGTCAGGCAGTGGATCACCCAGTGTTTCTCCATTGACAGGCAAGGGGGAGAGGGGTAGATATGCCATTTGAAAAGGGCTGGAGAGTTGTTTCTTTGGCAGAATGCCCATTACAGAACCCAAAGCCCCAGATGCCAGCAGCATCTTCCAATGATTGCAACAACTAGAAACAGCCTCATGCCTTTCCAATCAACAGCGCACCGCCCTCTCCCGGCCAGGGAGTAATTCTGATTACTCTTGTTGCAAACCACTTCCAGTATTTTCCACTGAGAGCAGAGAAACTCTCAGGGGTTCAGTCTTTCTGCTGAAGGGTTGCCTAGTTGAAGGTAGTGCTAGCATACAGGCCATCGAACGCAAGGTCATTAACCACCTCAGCTCACCAGAAATCAAGGCTCTATCTCCAGATTGGCAGCAGTACCCAGATGTGTGGCCCTGAATGCGCCTCAGATACCTCCCTCAGTCTTAGCTCTGCCACCTGCAAAAACCGAGACAAAGTGATTTCGAAGCTCTCAAGATTTTAAATGAATAGGATTCCTTCGTCTCTCAGGAATGTCCAGGTTTTGCCTCTGAGCGATGCATTTTGTATGTCTGTGTATATAGTTCAGGGAAAGGCTGGGGGGCGGGGGAATGCTGGGCCAAATTTCAAGCACAAGTTTGAAGAAAAAAGAATTCTAAATCTTATTCTATTTTTTAAAGGCGGGGGTGGTGGGGGCTAGAATCTCACTTAAGGCTTTAAGGAATAACATTTCTTTACTGACAAAATCTGGTCATTATATCTCAGATATGAAAACAACTGTTTATTTTCATGGAAATCCAAGAAATTCTGTTTTTTAAAAAAGTAGGTTTTACCATTTCTCTCTTTCACTGCGATTATAATTCTTAATGGTTTTTATGTTTGTTTCAAAACATAACCTTTAAGAGCTTGTGGTCCTTCATTGTTGCTATTGACATTACTTGTATTTATTTCCATGTCTATAAGTAAACGTTAATCAGTTTTGCAAATCTAGTGTGTTAGAATGTTCTATATATATGTATGTATGTATATATATATATAGTTTTTCAAAGTAAATAGGAATACCTGATGTTAGACAAATAGCAAATAAGATATGAAAATCATCTTCTTTACATAATCTCATGAAGCAATTATTTTCTCATGTCTCTGTATTGATGAACCTCACTTTTTAAAATGTATCTGTCTTTCTCGGTGGACAAACTTGTCTGACTGCCCTGACAACTCACTCATGCCTGCCTGTCCCGTGTCTATCATTCAGCAACTGAGAAACCTGCTCTAGAATGCTTCACATCAGAAAACGTGCCCTTCCCTAACTTTTTCCCTGAAACATTCTACTTAAAGCATGTTACCTTTCAAACTATAGGATTTTTTTTTTTTTAGTCTTGAAAAAGGGTTCAAGAGGCTTCCTTGGAAAACTTATCTTTCTTCTTAGATTGTCTTGGTTAAAAATCTTCAGCTAGTGGGGGAAAAGGGCCCTTTAAAAAATCCTTTGACTTTGGTGTTTCATGGCCAGGCCATGTGGGGACTGAGGTCTCCCCGCATGCACTTGTGCAGAGCTTTCCAAGGCTTTTTTAATGCATTGTACCTAATGCAGAGAATGACCACGTATGCCTGCAATGATCTGAGGACATACTAAACACACAGTTCCTTTGAAGTATAGCATTTTACATTCAAAATTCATGTAAATGCTGCATTTTATTCCATAATATGTTTTAATATTTACAATTTTTGTTTTAATGTTACTTATCAACCAGTAAAATGAATAGTCCCATAATTTCAAACATTACCTTTGTACTCTATGAAAAGGCATCCCAGTGTGTGAAGCATTGAGTGGCAGGCAGGAACGTAGACTTGTTCCCTAAGAGGTACGTGTTGCTGGGAGATTGCCTTCATCATTACCTAGATAGATTACCATGGACAGATGTCAACGAGTAAGGACTGTTTGAATGAAATCAAAATAACAGTCCCAGGAATGGTTGATTTCATTCTTCTGGCTTCAGGAACAACAACCAGGGGAAATGGCCACAAGATTGTTTTAGCCCAAAGATTGAAATCAATCATAAGAGGACAAACCCGTGTCGACCTGGACCACATAATCAAGAGTGACCAAAAAAGTGGGTTCCGAGAGTGTTGTTATTTGTCACCGAACGTTTTTACTAGAAATTTCTCCACTCTCGCACACAAAAAGGAGCACTAGTGGCATGAGTGGCTAAGTGCTTGACAGCTAATCAAAAGGTCAGTAGTTTGAACCCACTAATGATTCCATCAAAGCAGTATGTTCCTTTAAAAATGTATATAGCTTACTCTGCCCTCTGGGGGTCGTTACGAGTCAACATCTACTCAGTAGCATTGAGATCTGGGGTTTTAGCACAACCAACTGCTCTGGAGCAAGTGTTTCTATCAAGTATTCTCCTGACGCACTAGATTTGGTCACAAAGAGAAAAAACCCCAAATGTTGGTTCCCATTCATTTCTTGTCAAAATATGCTCACTCTCAAGTTGACATAAGAAAAAACAATATAACTAATCTCTCTTGAAATTTGCATGGCAAAAATGCCTTATGTATACAGAGTACTTTATATTTTCTTATCTTAGTTTTGAAAAAAGCTCAAAATGAAGTTTTATCTACCAGTCAAGAACCAGAGGGATTATGTATTTTGCTAAAATTCACACAGGTAACTGGTGAGTAAACAGAACTGACCTCATCCACCTCTCTGGCTTTGTGTCCAACATCCCAATACACCGTAGAGAAGTATCTTTCATTAAAGAGTTTTTTTCTTTCCTCCAATAATATTTGAAATTTAGCAAATAAAGTTAGAGGTGCATTTATAGTCATGCTGTGTATTTACAGGAGCCCTCGTATTGCAAGGTCAGCAGTTCAAAACCACCAACAGCTCTAAGGGAGAAAGATGGAGCTTTCTACTTCCATAAGGAATTACAGGTTTAGAAACCCACAGGGGTAATTCTACCCTGTCCTGGAAGGTCGCCCTGAGTCGCCATTGGCTGCATGGTAGTGAGGTCTGTTTGGGGGTTTTTTACTGTATTTAAAGCAGCAGCAGATCGTGCCACTTGGTATTGATCAAAGCTGATTAACATTGACTTCCTTTGCACACACGTTTTTCAAGTTGGAATCTTGCCAATAAGACATACTTTCCTGGGTTAAAGGAAGTAAGTCATCACTTATGGTGTAACATTGGCATCTGAGAGTGCATCATTAGGCAGAGGGCTACGAGAAGCCACTTGATTAACTAAAATACAAGCCCGTAGAACTTAAAAATACTTATAATCAAGGCTTTAAAATGTCATTTTAATTAAATTTGATTGTCATTTCACTGCTTGTTCATTCACTCGGAAAATGCTAGTAAAATGCGCCTGTTATTCTACACAAAGCAGAACCCTTGGTACTCAGGTACAACCCTTGGTACTCAGGTACAAGCATTGGCCTCACGGACAGCCCGGCCCATTTAAAACCTGATGGAGTCTGATTTGGGCTACTGAAAAATGTCTCTTTTGAGTCCACAAAAAAATTACAAAATCGGAGAAGTTTTTGACAAAGGCAAGTGAAATTATTTTCCAAAGACCTATATGCTTAGTAGATAAATGATAAAAATGCAAGTCTGATACATAGTTACTTTTGAATCAAAGTTTAGATTTCATACTTGAAATAAATTTTTAATCTGATTGATTGAAGTTATGCTTATCATTCCTTATTATCTGATAAAAATGAAAAATCATTTTCAATGAGATAGATTGCTTGTCAAATTAGCTACCAGTCGTTTTATCACAAACAACTGGGGCAAAATGTAACGTCAGGGGGAAAATCTAAAAGATATTTCAACTGTGTTCAATGGATAGGTGGTTAAAGCAGAACATTTGAATGAGTTTTCCTAATTCCTAATGACCACATGTAGCATTTGAGCAACACATCGCCATTCTCCTTTTTGTAGTCTTGGCGGTCAGGTGTCATCCCGTTGGTTGCCACCCCTAACAG